AGCCTTCGAGGCCGAAGACCTCCGAGCTCGACTCGACAATTGAACAATTAAAAGGTATCTCGGCCATGAGGTCCCGTACCAATGCAAAGAGAGGCGATATCGGTGGAGTCGTTGCGTTGTGCTGGGCTGTTGCTTGTCCGTCGTGGTGGAGGTTGGGCTCGCCGACAGGTTGCTATTTGTTAGCCGCTGCAACTAACGAAGATGACGCACGAATCACCGGAGCTCCTGTGCGAAGAGGGCCTGCCTGAGTTGCAGGTTCAGCGAATCATGATGGAGGGACTCGCCGAAAAACGCAAGAAACAGAGGCTGCGATTTGCGACGGGAGGGAGCAACAGGTCGCCAAAACTTGCTGGCCCGTTGCTGGTACACTTCCGGCGAGAGAATATGGCGATGCGAGAGGATGATGACGATGAGGGACGATGGTGACCTGCCGGACGATTTGATGATGGTGGCAGAGAGCGATGATGGTGACCGGCGATTACGATCGAGAGAGAGGGTACAAGATGACTGCGGGATTTCTCAAAATCTGCTGAGGGATGATACGTGAGCTGATGGTCCATCTCCCTTTATTTAAATCATGTAGGGTTTATATTTCTTCACCTCCAAGCCACACACACACGCACGGAATTTTAGAAAAACTGGGCTCGGGCTAAGCTGGGTTGGCTCTCGGTTCGCTAGACGCTCGCGGGTTCTCGGGCTCGACTTAAACGCACGATTAAAATAAAAATTAGGTAAATACATATATATTTATCAATAATATAACATTTAGACAATTAATATCAATAATAGTAATACTACTAATAACAACAATAATAGCAAATTGGCATTTATAATAATAATAATAATAATAATAATAATAATAACAATAATAATAATAATAATAATAATAATAATAATAATGATAATAATGATAATAAATAATAAATAAAGGCAATTATAATATCAATAATCAATGTTTATTCCCAATAATCCACGATAAAACGGGGTATTACAGTCTATCCACCTTACAAAGAATTCCGACCTCGGAATTCGAAAACAAAAGGAACTAATGACCTAATAGAATACACAGATCCCCGAAATGATAAGTTAGGGAAACTCCCCTAATCTCAGCATCCAACTTTCAAGTCGTCTCAGACTCGTCATGTCAGCCCCACAGCACCTTCCTAAGGCTCACTGCCCAGTTCCTCCGTCGATAGACACCCTGGTCCAAAATGACCACCGGTACCTTCTCATAGGTAAGGTCTCGCTCGACCCACAGTTCGCTGAAGTCCACCACGTAGTCCGAGTCA